AAATCCCCCCCAAACTTAACTTCCAACCAATGTGGGACTTTGGCATTTTGCCAAACTTCAACAGTGGCAACAAGTGGAACTACCATGGTAGAGGAGTTGCCACAAAGCTTGAAAGAAAAAAAAATGGCAGATAAATTGGGATTCTGTATCTCAAGAACTGAAGAAGACGAGTCGTTTTATGGCTCCAATGGTAGCGGTCACAGTTTTTCAGTACCTCTTGCAAGTTGTATCAGTCATGATGGTGGGACATCTTGGAGAGTTAGCGCTGTCTAGTGTTGCCATCGCCACTTCTCTAACTAATGTCACTGGTTTCAGCCTGCTTGTAAGTGCTCTCTACATATTAATGTTCCATATGCATTAGTGTCTCATGTGAGGGGAATGTCTTGTGTTTGTATATACTGACCTCATGAACTATCTTTTGGGGTTTAGTTGAGACAAATTCATTCCGATTCTTAGCTTACCCATTGTTGGTCCCTCATACTATGTTGTCTACTCTCCAAATGTCCGGGCCTGGACGAGAGGGAGGGGAGAGGTGTTAAAATCCCGAAGGAATGGACTATCGTCTCCTTATATGGTTTTATACAAGTATCATGGACTAATTTTTGGGTTGAGTTGGTCCAAATAGAGGTGGACCTATGTATAACAAACATTGAGGGTCACCGGTTCCCGTAAATTTTGGCTGAAATCTTGTACTATATGTATATGTGTATACCTTGAAAATGGTTAATTTAAATAACTTGACACCTTGAACACTAAAATCCTTTCGGGGACACTGACTGAGTAGAATACTGGTGCCCCGTTGCGTTAAAACCCTGGGTCCCTCCAGGTCCAAAGTCTTTTGTTTACTAAAATGTTCGTCCATGAAACCATAGTATTGATTTACTAAGGTTTGTGAACTTGGAACAGACAGGGCTGGTTGGTGGTATGGAGACACTATGTGGACAAGCTTATGGAGCTCAGCAATATCACAAACTCAGTACATATACCTACACTGCTATAATTTCTCTGTTTTTAGTATGCATACCAATCTGTGTGTTATGGTGCTTCTGTTAGGGATATAGTAGATATGCCCTAAATTCAATCTCATATTTGATGATTTGAACATATTTTGTGAACGTTATTTGATATAAAAATATATGGCATTCTTTTAGCATAGTTATTATTAATTGTTTGATTAATTTGATAAGGTCCTTGATTAAATTTTGAGATTTGTCATCGTGATAGAGATCATGATAATGAGAGCAAAGTCTCTTACAATTTAATCTAAATTTGTTCTTGATCGTAGGATTATTAATTTGGATATTAGTAATCTGGTTAGATCAATATTTATGTGATTGTCTTTATGGGATAACGATTAGTTGATCTCATTAACT